GTTGCATTTAACTGTTCATGTACCACAATTTTTTAATGCACTGGCATGCTGCTTAATAAATGGCATTACAGTCCCACCCTGTGGTTGACAGATTTATTTTTCCTGTTTTATGAAGATGACATTTGTTTCTGTATATTTCAGCCTTAAACAACAAACACTAACTCAGACTGTGCACACATCTAAATTCGTTTTGTGCTGCATGTTCTCATGTAAGCACGTCTGAGCACATAAGAAAAGCACATATCTTTATTTTATATAAATTGTTTATTTTAAGCTCAATCACATTTAAGTACATTTTATATTCAAATACATTGCTATTTTACACATTACTGTTAATATTTCATTTTGCTACTGATATGCTTTTTAACTAGCTTAATCCTGCAGCCCTCCCCATCAACTGGAATCTTTATTGTGCCTCTGCTCCCTCAGTCCATCAGCCACCACACTGTCTACCTACAACCCCCAGCCTGATAAAGCAGAAAACTGCCACACGTTCGACTGAAGTTTCTGCTTGTTTCATGTATGAGGACAGCGAGCATCACAAGTGGATGTATTGTCTCACCTAATTAGCTGATGTAAGAATAGCTATAAACTCTTCAGACACCATGTTTCCTATAAAGCCTTTCCTGCTTAGTATGCTGTAGCCCCACCCTGATGGGCAGTCAGCTCAGAAACTGAATTTGAATTTTTATTTTGAGCCTAAAATTGCATGAGCACACTTAAATTCAAATATATGAATACATTGCCATGTTATAAAGTACATTTTAATTTTTCTACTGATATTTAAGTTTCAGCCTTTATTTAGATTGTGACCCTCATTTGCAGTGTAGCCAAGTATGACCACGCAGGATTTACAGAGACTGAAAGCAAGGCTGATAAATATTTAAGATTAAGCTTTTTTCAGAGTAAAATAAGGGTTAAAAAAAAGTGTGTGTGATTGTAGGCTACTAAAGTATGCAGAGAAACAGATGGACTACAGTCTATAATTATAGAACTACAAAGTGCACCTATATAGTAAGTGGAGCTGATAAAATGGACAACGAGTATAGAAACAAAACATTTATTTACATTATATATATATATATATATACACCTGTTCTATTGTCCTGTGGGGGTCCTGACCATTGAAGACGGTGAAAGAAAGTGCTCAGTGAATGTGATATATACATTACGTAGACAAAAGTATTAGGACACACCTCCTAATTACTCAGTTCAGGTGTTTCAGCCACACCCGTGTCCATAAAGGCATGACTAGAGGAGTTTTGTTTTGAAGGAACTTGACTGGCTCACACAGAGCCCTGACCTCAAGCCCATCAAATGCCTTTGGGGTGAACTAGAATGGAGATTGTGAGCCAGTCCGTCTCATCAAACATCAGTGTCTGACCTCACAAATGCTCTTCTGGATGAATGGGCAAAAACTCCCACAGACACATGGTGCCTCAGGCAAACCTTGTCCTTTAAGACGCTGCATTAATTTAATCTCACACTCTTACCTGCACTTAGCAATTATTCTATTTTGGATCTACAAAAAGACTTCAGACACTGGGTTTATTGAAAGAGGAACACGGTTGTGCTGTTTTATATATACTTTTCAATGCCCTATGTAAATACCTTTTTTTGTTAATGATGTTCTCTTTAATCATCATGTTTGATTATGTTAGAAACTTTCATGTTATTCCGTCACACGCTCCAAAATCTTGTAGAAAGTTTCCCAGAAGAGTGGAAGCTGTTATAGCTGCAAAGGGGGGACCAACTCCATACTAATGCCTATGGATTTAGAATGGGATGTCATAGAAACTCCTGTAGGTGTAATGTGTAGGTGTGCCAATACTTTTGTCCATATAGTGTATATATGTAAAAACCTGAATTTTTTGTAGTCAATTGTACATTCATTATGAATAAATATACAGTATATATATATATATATATATATATATATATATATATATATTAATACATACTATAATTTATAATAGAGTTTTGGTAAATAATATAAATCATAGCCCATTCAAACTTTAATAACTTACTATAGCAAGCCACATCATATACTTCGGCGCACTTCACTTCACATGATCAAAAGATACCTGACCAACTCAATAAAGGCACATCTTGTGCTAAAATCTGGGAAAAATTGCTTCTGGAGTCTGATGACTTGACCTTACTACAAGTGGAATCAGCTGTTGAGTATTCCACGTGGCTTTTTAGCCAAACAGCTGCTACTCACTCCATCATAGCACAACAACATCTTGTTCTCAGTTCAGATGACAGTTTACAAGTGCAGCAGACAAACACACAGCGTCCCAGACAGACCAATTACCAATCACCGATTAAGAGCTTGGCAGTGACCACTCATGGACAAGTATGTAGAAACTGGTCTAAGCTGAACAATTTCACTAAAGATCACTGTTCTGCACCAGCCTGTACACAGGAAAAGCACTCACAGCCCCATTCTGAGTGCACTGAAATTAGTCATTAGCCACGTGTTTTCAGAACATACACAATACTGCTAGTGGATGTCATTGTACCACTAGTGATGAATACAGGAGCTGCAGCTTCACTTCTAAACATGACTACATAGACAGTTCTTTTCTCACCTGCCATTTCAAAAGCCACCCACTGCCCTTTGTGGCTATGGATGCTCTAAAATTCACATTGTGGTTGCCTACCTGTGCACCCTGGCACGCACCACCTGTCCTCTTTTGTCTTTCACATAGCTCACCAGGGAGTCAACCTCCTGGGACTTGCCCTCTTTACAGCCTTGGGCTTCTCTCTGAGGGATCAGAGTAGGTCTGCCATAGACCAGGTAATGGCTGATGGTGTTTGATGGACTAGGCTGTCTGACAGCGGCCCCAGGTCAACCCAGCTGATGCCCCAGTCATTCAACCACTCATATGTCTGCCCCAGCCTTCCCTTCCTGATAAAAAAGTCTACTTTCTGTCATATAGAATGCAGCTTTTTCTTGTTTTCTGCCCCCTGGATGAGCACGTGTCTCTGTGATGATGTTGCACATAAATGCATCTATATTTTGGCAAATGCTAATGGTGTTGGGATGAATGGTCACATTCCTACTTGCGTTAGTCACAAACACACTACTGAGGTTACATGAGGCTGAAATTGGCTTCCTGTTTGCCAGCTTCTTATTAGAATTTTCCATTCCAAATTAAGTGGTGCAGCAGTTACATTCTGCGGCCTGCAACTGCTACACCGGGGGTCGGCAACACGCGGCTCCGGAGCCACATGCGGTTCTTTTATTGTCCTGTTGTGGCTCCACACTTTTTAGGAAAGAATAATGTATCTTCCTTTGCAGTAAAATAAAGCTCTGCTGATCGTTCTAACATGGTTTTAACAACAAATGGTCTCAACACAAGAGTTAATGTAGTCTATAACTGCTAATTCATCCTTTAACCCTGAAGGTTGGAGCGCAGACTGCTGGTCACAGCAACGCAGACAACAATCTCACCTAGCTAGTAGCTAACGAAAAGGCAAAGAGAAAGATTTAAGACGAACATCGATAATTTGGAGACGAATGGTCTTATTTGCATTTACAAGCAATCTAGCTGGTTACGTTTAATACGTTTGATCTGCAACAAGAAGCTGTCAAACACCAAACCGTTACGAAGCTGAAGTCAGTTTCTTGTTTACCAGCCTCTTGTTTGAATTTTCCTGTTCCACCTTAAAAGGTGCAGCCATTAGCTACATTATGGTGCCTCAGGCACCATTTAAGGTGGAATGGTAAATTCAAACACGAAGCGGCGAATGAGGAGCTGGCTTCAGCCTTGTAAAAAATCGAACGTTGTGAGACATTTTACAAGAAACTGTTCTACTTTTGAGAAAACTTTCCTGCCGGAGATGCGAGAAAGGCCTACACTTTACCATTACATTACCACATACTGAGACATATTTACAGCCAAGATAGTAAAATGGACATAAAATGTTGTGACTCCCAAGGTGGTTTGTTTTGTTTTTTTTTGTTGAAATGACAAAATGGCTCTTCTTAACATTTGGGTTGCTGACCCCTGTGCTACACCATTTAAGGTGGAATGGAAAATTTGAACAAGAAGCTTGAATAGGAATATTTGAATAGGAAGCTTCAGCTTTGTTGCGATTATGGTGGTCACTCTCAGTTGGATGAATCACCGCTGTAATCCGATATCTTACATCGATTTAAAGTCAGACTCCTGACAGTATAACTAAAAATAAAAACTTAAAAAAGAGACTAAAAAAAACATGGGGAAAAAAACTGCTGCTGTTGATGTTGTACTGGTTATGATCACTGCAGTTCTGAACAGGCAGAGAAGTGGAGCTATTTTTATATTTTTTTTTAAATCTGAATGAAGCTGACTGCAAAAAAGATGAAGGTAGAGATTATTATTATTATTATTATTATTATTATTATTATTATACATACATACATACATCATCTAAACCGCTTATCCTTCTGGGTCGCAGTGGGGTGCTGGAGCCTATCCCAGCTGTCATTGGGCAGAAGGCAGGATACACCCTGGACAGGTCGCCAGTCCATCGCAGGGCTATTATTATTATTATTATTATTATTATTACTATTATAGCAGGAAATAAACATTACGTTTGTGTAATCAGATACCCAGAACAGGTATGACTGCCAGGGGCCATAAAAATTATTGGAACATTAGTTATTAACCTGTCATCATTAATAGAATACTTAATGTAACGATGTACTTACAAAACTAACGGTTTCTTTTTCTTTTCTTGTTTTTGGCGAAAAAAAAACAAGCCTTTGTATTTTACCCCTGTCCCCTCCAGGGCTCTGTGGTTATGGCAGTCCTTTTTTGTTTGTTTTTTTATTTTTTACTTTTGTTCAGACTTTTTCACAGTCATTTTTATTCTTCTATCAATTCGCCCTTTTCATTCTTTTCACACTGTTTTCTATTAAGCTTGCGCGTGCTCTCTTTCTTCTCTCTCTCTCTCTATCCCTCACTCTTCATCTCTCTCTCTCTCTCGCTAGCAGCAAGCTCGTGGCAGAATGACCAGCACCACTGGCATCACGACGCGGGCTCTGCTGTCTTTGTATTTATGAGAGCTGAAGGCTTTAAATCTGTGACTGTGTCCGCGGTGCATTTTGAAAGCGTATATATGCTATCATCGAGTTCTTTGCTGCTTTTTTGTTCTGCACTACAGAAAATCCTAATTTAAACCCATTCGAGCTCGTTGTTGTTGTTTTTTTGCACTAGAGAAAATAATTTAAATGCATTCGTGCAGCATTTTAAGGCGAACGCGATCTGCGATGTCGTTGCTCGTTCTTTTAAATCGGAATTAAGAAGAACATCATTTAAATACGTTGGTGGTGCATTTCAAACCATGCCCATGTCATCTGCCAGCGAGTAAATCTGCACGTCGGAACGCTTACTGGTATTGGACAGTTTAAGGTAGGTGGGCAGCCTTTCTGTTTATGCACATGCACGGCTTGAACGGGCTGTGTGGACTGGGGCAGGGGGCGTTTCTTTGTCTTGTTATTAGGAAAACAAAGCGAGGGCAAATGGCCGCTCCTCGCATCTGAGCTAGTTCCTAGGCAAATGCCATCTCATTGCCTCCTTAAATTTCCTTCCTCTTTCATTTCGTTTTCAATCGAGACCACAATATGTTCATGTTATAGTTTATTTTGTGCTGTTTTTCACTCACTCGTTCTCAGTCACTCTCCCTAGTTCTCATCCTCTCCCACTAAACGTCTCTTGTGGCTTATTTGCCCTTTATGCTCCTTTTATTGGCCTTTAGGTTCCCGGATATTTTGACCAGTCACCTTATGCTCATGCATTTACACAGAACAGCCTCTCCTCGACAGATATAATGTGTCTGTATTGCGCTTTTTTCAGTGAACTGGATTCTGTGGGGTTTGTTTTATATTTTTTATTTTATTAAAATTTTCTCTCCTATTCCCTTCTTTCAACGCTTAATTGATGCTTGTTTCTGGTTTTATTTTGGTTTATTTTTCTCTTGTATTCAAATTTGATCATTTTAATGACAGATTCTGCACGTTAATATAGAAATGCAGACACGTCTGAGTCTATCTGTGACAGTGACCTATATAAGAAATAAGAGGTTAAGAGCAAAAGCAGATAACACGATTCATCTCTATTCTGATGCTTTTAATCAATGGCGGACTCAAGGGGGGGCGTGTGGTGGTGGTGGTGGTGGTGTGTGTGTGTGTGGGGGGGTGTTTGTTGGGGTTTATGAGGAGCCTCGCCTCGTCCTATTTCCCCCCGTTATATCACAAACATGACTGCTAAACAGCAGAGGGCGCCCGCGAGCGAGTCGAGAGTGAATGGAGCTCAATGGCTAAAAACGAAAAGTTTAAATAGTTTCTAATCACTCGCCCTGAACGTTTCTTTAATTTCAGAAAGAATAAGGATGTATTTCACTAAAAAAGCAAAGAAATCTTACCTGTATGTTTCTTTTTGTCTACAGTAAACGGGTTTTGGGCAGCAGGACGCTGGCAATACTGCTACTGAGTGCTGATTGGTTGGCGAGCGGAGCAGCTCATTGGCTGTTCGCGCTCACAGACCTCATGGACGTACATGAGGCGCCGTTTTAAACTCCTATAACTCGAGTTTTAAAGCTCTGAAAAATATAACAGCCGTGTTAAAATCTTTTATGCTATTCAGGAAATTATTGTATTCTTTTACATTAAAAATGAGAAACCTGGAAGACATTATATCGAGGTAATTCTCCTCTCTACAAGTTCTCTGGTGGCTGGTGCTCCAGTGGTAGAAAAAGCCTCACTAAAGTGCCCTCTAGAGTCGCAAAAATGAGAGGAAGTGCCTTATTGGCTGTGCAGTTTTATTCAGTGGCCTCTAGGGTGCCTCTTCATGCAATAACTTATTATAATATTCGAGTGCCCTTCTAGTGGAGAAACCATGAAGCAGTGCCCTATAAGGTGCCCTTACAATGGTCTAAATATGACGTTCCCTATGGGTGCCATTATGAAGTGCCCTCTATGCTGCCTCTACATGACAATGCCTCAAAAGTTGCCCTTTCTGGTAGAGAAAATGGGATGCAGTGCTGTATAGGGAACTCCTACAGGTTACAAAAACAAAAAGAAGTGCCCAAATAGGTGTTCCTCTAATGGAGAAGGCCCCCTCCAGTGGATAAAATGTGAGGAAGTGCTGTAAAGGGTGTCCCAACATGTGGGGATGAGGGGTGAAGAATGTGGAGAAGTTTCCTAATGGATGCCTCTCCAGTGGAGAAAATGTGATGTGGTGCCCTTAGATACCCTTTCAAGTGAGAAAACACGCAATGGAGCAAGACCCAGTGTGCCCACTTAGGCAGAGTTTCCCAAAATGGGTGCTGGTGATAACAGTCTAGGGGTGCTGCCAAATACTTTGATAAGATTTCAAATTTATATCTCAAACCCTTCTTGCATTCAAAACACACTGTTTGGCTGCTAACAAATATTTTCTGCATTTTTGCCAGGGGCCAATAAGTTAGGCTAATATGTAGCTAGCATTTTGATGTAATCTCATTTGCATGTCTCTGTTTTCTCATTTTTCAATGTACCCTTTAGGTTAGGTTAGATTGTGTAAACTTAATTGTATCGACTGTAACTATCTTTCAGATACTCATTCCCATCATATCTATTCCATCCATTTAAGCTTTGTTTTAGCCACACCCCCTCTAGAATGTTCAGATGTCAGAGCGTGTGTTTGTGAAATAAATGTTAATAGTTCCCTCTGTTTTTTACTTCGGAGGTGTTTGTGAAAGAAACATTTTAAAGGTTTATAGTTCCTTGTATGTTTTTGTCATACAGGTGCAGTTACACTTTTAATCTGAATCATCAAGGATAAAGACTACGTCATCATACATGATGCATCAAAGCTTGTTGTGCACTGGTGGGGCTTCACATCATTCAGCAAACCTTCTGCCCTTCAAACACCCTCAGTCCACCACTGCTTTCAATCAGTTTATTTGAAACCACAGCATGGCAGTTTCCCTAAAAATAGCTTGTAAGGGATAGAAATTGGATTTGGGAAACAAATCTGGAGGCATTTGAAGCTTGGGTTTAATTTCACAAAACTGTGGTTTCCACTCATCCAGAGGCTGATCTAGAGCCTGAGAGTGTGATGATACATCTAACTGCACATTTATTAGGACACATTTATTAAACTTATTAGGAAGGCTGGCTCTGTTGTAGGAGTCAAGCTGGACACTCTGGAGGTTGTGGCAGAACAAAGCATGCTCAACAAGCCGTTAGCCATCTTGGATAACACCTCACACCCCCTGCATGCTACACTGGATAAACAGAGAAGCACATTCAGTGACTGTTACATCTGCGCTGTGTTAAAGAGCGCCGAGTATGATCTTTCTTACCTACTGCTATAAGGCTCTACAACGAGTCTCCTTTCTGCAGAGACGGTACTGATCTTCTGCTGTCTGAACTGTGCTAAACCACATCACTATATCACCTCTCCTGTTAATATACACTGTGCAATATATCATAACATGCTGCTGTAATGACACTTTCACTATGCACTTTACATTGTAAAATTGCTGCAACTCATAGTTATGTCTATACTCATTGTGCTTTTAGTTTACCTTATACCACTCAGTGCCTGCTATCATGTAAATACAACAACTGTCTCATATGCTATATGCAAATAGATGTACTTTATTTCTACTCTTATTCTTAACTTGTGTCTATTTTTATTTCTATTTTTTATTTTCTGTATAGTATATGTAAGTGTTTGTGAAATTATATGTCTTGCTACTGAAACACTGCAATTTCAGTCCTGTCTGTCTGTCAAGCTATCTAGCTATCTAGCTATTTCTATTCGTATTGAGAAGCTGCATTAATCCCACCCTGGCACATTTTGCTTTTTTTCCATCTTGTATCCTTGCAACCCAACAGGAGTCCATCTAAGTAGAATTTCTATTGTGGCCACCACTTTTTCTGAAGAAATGGACCATCATCAGGCTCTGTCAGACTCTCTGCTTGGCCCCAAGGATAGTGGACCTTCAGGAGTCCAGACAGAAGAACCCATCACCTCTCAGTCCAGGACAGCCAAGGCAGACTCATTCCCCTGCCTGCGGATCCTTTCTCTGCCCCAGCAAATCCAGGAGGAGCCCCATCAGCATGGGGAGGTCAGCGTGGTGGTCAGAGATAAAACCGAGAACGGTAGGAGCTCACTCTCATTTTTTGGGATCCATGCATGTTTGGAATGCATTAACCTTATCTTCCCAGATGGTAATATTTATTGGTTCCGGGGCTTCAGAGTCTTGATATCATAATAGTTGTCTGCTGGCCGTATAACAACTGAGATGAACTGGGTTTGAGTGGCTGAAAAGATTCTTCTTAAAGCAATAGCTTAGTGAAAAATCAAGTGTACACAAATTTCTCCCTTACATCAAATGAAGCCAATCAGCCAAGACTGGTTTGGTGTCATGAGTTTGCTTCTCTATTTTCACACTGGAATTACGAATCTAATATAATGCACAAAGGGACTGACAAAATCCAGCTGGCTACTACTACTCTTTCTCGTTATAGACAATAGTATATGATACAATGTTAGAATCCACATGTGCAAGTCTATTTAAGATTACTTAACATGACATCTTTTGTGTTATGCACTTTACACAATTCCAATTGTACATAATCTTCTGTTACCTGTTAGCTACATTAGCCTTGTAGCTCCAGTGCAAAACTAACAAAACAAACGTCAGACAACAAACATGGCTGTTAGAATACATCTAGACTAATTGTGTAAACTTGTTTTTTCTGTCATACTACCTATTTTATTTAATCTAAACCAGAAATGTTCATTGTTAGCTGTATACAAAAATGAAAAGAGAGAGAACTTGTAACTCAAAGGCCTCTTACTACAAGAAGCTAAACCATGATAAAGCTGGAAATAAAAGAAAACGACAGATTTTCTTGTTTTCTTGGTGGAAAAAAAGGCCATGTGAAAGTGTAATGAACCCACAATAGACTAATGCTCCAGGACTGAGCACAAAAGCATTTTACGCACCTGAAAGCTGGTTGTAGGAATGACTTATTCAGCAAGCGATTTATGTCAACTCTGAGCCGCTGTGGCATCCTATAAATAATCTACAGTTCATTATAAGTGACATTGTGTTGTGAGCAGCCAACCATCTTCACATGACAGGGGTCGACAGGCTGCTTAGCTGCATGTTTTTGTTATTGAGGACATTAGGACAAAGGTCAGTTTGGGTTGAGAACAAAGTGCGAGATGTTTATTTCCCTTGTTTCTCTTCTTTTTTCTTTTACAGTCAATTAGAAGAGAGTTCATGTACACCATCAATGTAATTGAAACCTTGAATTCTAATTATAAATGGCCAAAAGAGTGCACTGTTGGGGAACCTTTTTGAAAAGGGTTCTATATAGCACCAAAAAGGGTTCTTTTATAGTTACGATGTGAAGCTTGTAATAATAGAAGAACCCTTTTTGGTGCTATGCTATATAGTACCCTTTCCAAAAAGGTCTCCATTAATCTGAAGAACCCTTTAATCATGCAAAAGGTTCTTAGCGTTCATGGTTCTGTATAGAGCCATTTTCTTTGCTAATGACCCATGATTAATTTAAGGGGAAAAAGCAGTATGAAAAAACAAGAGGCTCCAACATGTTCATTTCTTAATATTTTTGTATACTCAATATCTTTGTTGCAGTACATAAATATTAGAAATTTTCTCTCTGCCATTATGCTGATGTCTCTCCCTGTGCTGTTTGTGCTTCTGCTTCACTGTCACTGTCTCACTGCAGCTATCCTTACCATTTCTGAAATTGACAAACATATGTGAACCAATTCCTTACATGTCCATGCCATAAAACTACCTCCACCATGCTTGACACATGAGTGGTATACTTTGGATCATTAGCACTTTGCTCCCTTCTATAGATTCTTCTCATTATTCTGGTGGGAAGATGATCTTTGTATCCAGAAGATAACTTCCAGAAGAGATGAGTCATTAAAATATATTAGTATGGAAATGGTTATAAAGCCATTTCTAAAACTTTATGACCCTTGTAAACCAGAATGAGAGCCATTACTGCTAAATGGAGGAAATTTAGAACAGTGGTGTGTCATTGAAGTTTCCGGCCTACCAAATGGCCTACCAAATTTCCTCCAAGAGTACAATGATGACTCATCTACTCACAAAAAACAACCATATAAACATATAAGGAACTACAGGCCTCACTCACCTTAGATAAAATCAGCACTGATGATTCCACTGTTCGAACAAGACTTGGCAAAAGCAGTATCAGTGAGAGAGTTGCAAGGCGAAAACTAAGAGGAATTAAGAGGAATATAAAGGCACCCAAGCCTTTTGGAATAATGTTCTATGGACTGACGAGTCAAAAGTGGAACTTTTTGGAAGACAGTGGTCTCATTACATCATATGTAAAGCTAACACAGCATTCCACAATAAGATCATACCAATACTCAAACATGGTGGTGGTAGTGTGATGGTGTAGGGATGCTTTGCTGCTTCACGGTCTGGGTGACTTGGCATAATTGATGAAACCATGAGTTCTCTGTTGTGGCTGAATTAAAGCAATTCTGCAAGTAAGAGTCAGCCAAAATGGTCACACGTTTTGTGGATGGGCCTCTACAGATGATCTGCAGATACTTATATTACTAACAAACTTTCTGGTCATACTCAGTTGATTGTCAACAACATTAAGGTTAAGGAGTAGGTGTTGGTTCTGCATTGAGGTTAGGGTTAGGGTTAGGTCTAGGGTTAGGGACAGATTTAACAGAATCTTTCACACGCAACTTCAAGTCCAGTTCCATTTAATAGATATTTAGTTGAATTTTAGTTAAAAGTAGACTGAGCATCTGAGCATGATCCAGTTATAGGAAGTGTTTGTTGCAGGTGTTGCAGCTAAATGTGGCACAAACAGTTGTGGTACTGTCTTTCCACTGGAGAGGTTCCCATACACCCAAACGGACATAATTCTACTAATTTTGATTTCCATGTTTTGTTTTGTTTAAAATATGAAGTAAATATTTGCTAATTGTATAAAAATTATTTTTAAAAAAATCAATAACTTTTTACCAGATTTTGCTGGAATGATGGGGGCATAAATGCCTAGGTGCATGTACTTGTGGAACATTACTATACAGTATCTTCATTTCTCTCAGCAGGTCATGGGGTTTACACTTCTCAGCCAGAAGCTAAAACATCGCCCCCTGCTTTCTCATCTCCGCCACGGCGCCATCATTCTGTTCCTCACACATCCCACCCTCACCTGGGCCAAACACGTAAGGGCAGCAGGTCCAGCTCCATCGCCTACACGGCCTTCCCCTCCCGACCATCTCTGTCCCGCCACTCCAGCTTGGCCACCAACCCATCGCTGGACCGCTCCAAACCTAACGACTACCTCATTCTGGCCATAACCGCCTGCTTCTGTCCTGTCTGGCCCATCAATATTGTAGGATTTGTCTACTCCATCATGGTAAGTGGAGGAGGGGGAAGGCAACCGGATTTTCTTTGAGGGAAGATCGCAGGGATGATTTTAGTGTTGACACAAGTAACAAAACATCCTGAAGACTAAAGTGTGTCTGTACTTTTATGTAGTTTTATAGATAACAATATGTCATACAGTCAGTCAGTGTCAGAAACAACTTGTTTGAGATCATTTAACATGTAATGGGCTGATTTGTCTTTTGCATATACATGTATGTTTGCATATAGCAGCATTTAATGGATGCTTTTATCCAGGCTGACTTACAAAAATCCTTTGTTGTCCACTCAGAAAATATATCTGTGGTTAGTGCAAATAGGCCAGAGTCTAAAGATACCCATGGGCTAAGATATTGCCAGAAGCAATATAACAATAAGGATAATCTGATAATAATGATAAAAATGATAACTAGATACTAGGATACACAATACAGAGATATGAAATTTTCTTAAGTTCAATTACAAGACATTTTAATTAATGCAGATTAGTTAGTGTTTCTAAATCTTGTTTGGACGTCTACAAGAAGTTACCGTCTTTTAGCTCTTTAAAGCTAATTCAGAGCAGGAAGGCAAAAAAGCCAAACAAACAACTCAAAGCATCACAGAAAAACAATTCTATTTTTTATCTTTCTGTCACTTCAACACCAATCATTCGAATTTGTGCTCTCAGATACAAGCCTCTATCCTCTAAACGGGTGTTTTTAAGCATCGTTTCGCTAGAACCGATTCCGTACTGCAGTGGGAGGCACAGTGCACTCGCGTTAGCTTAGCCTAGCAGGCTACAGCTTAAAGCTCTAACAGAACTGGTCCAATTTTGGTTTTCTGTCACTCCAACACTGACCAGTTGACTTTGCTCTCACTATTATAAGTTTTTATCATCTATACTTGTGATAGCAGAGCAGTTAAGTTAGTTGAATCGAATGTGCACTGTAGTGTTTGGATCTCTTTAGCTAAGTTAGCTAGGAGAGAAGAGCTGGCTAGCATTAGCTTAGCTAGGAGGCTCCAGCTACAGACACCAGAGAAGAGGTTAATTTCAGCTTTCTGTCCCTCTAACATCAGCCACTCGACTTCGCCTCCTCATATATGAGTCATTACCATCTAAATTTGTGTCAGTAAAGCTTTTGTTAGTCAGAATCGAATCTGTTCTGTGGTGAGCAGCGCTGGCAGCATGCTAGCTAAGCTAACGCTAACCAGCTACTCTCCTCTAGCTGATTAGGTAGCGCCGTTTAACATAAAGAAATTGGTTTCAGATTGAAGCTTTGATGTTTACTGAATGATGGATTTAAAATCGTGCACTGCTTTATTTGAATGCTTTTGGGTGTGAAATAGCACAGCAGGATGACACAATACCAATATAAACATAGAACCAATCAGCAAACAGCTACGTCGTTACATCATCCCACCGAATGGTTCTGTGGCCCGAGAACGGTTAGCTAACCGTGCCCGACGGGCTGAGGTCGAACCGTGTCCATGTGGAAACGCCACTGGAATGGTTACCCTCCGTGCCCAGACCCGTTCGGCCCTGCAGTGAAAAAGAGGCCTTTGATTTCCCAAATTGCTGTTGCTATGGTGGATATATTTTGAGCAGGAAGAAAAGATAGACATTGTAGATGGGGTCACTTTTGTCTTTTTGCATCTAGTCTAGGAACAGTTTTGAGCAAGGGAACATCGATGGAGCCAGGCGGCTGGGCAGGGTAGCCAAACTACTGTCCGTCGTTTCCATTGTGGGTGGAGTCGTCATCATAGTGGCGTGTGTTGTAAATCTGTCAAGTAAGTGACCATTGACGTTGGACTCTTGTCTCAGTCCCTCTATTGTTTTTTCTGTCATATGCATACTGCACAGAACATAAATTTGTCAGCTATCTTGTTTTGTTTTGTTTTTTTTTTTGCTTGAAAATGGATGTTGCGGAGTGTAATAGTGTTACTTTTATTTAGTGTACTAACTTCAGTAAATATGCTATCATAGAAATCATTGAAAGACTTGGTTTTTTATTAGCTTCTAACTTTTTTGTGGGTATTTTTTGCAGTTAATGTAAAATCCTGAGGTCAGCCATTCTCTGGAATCCATCTTCACGTCTGACCACTAACCGGAAGACCATGGCCCATTCTATCGACGTCACCATGCCCGTGACCACAGTCACAGCTAAGAGGTTGATCACTAAGCAGGTGCCTCTACCCTTTCTGTCATGCTCAAATTACTGAGAGACCCTGAGCAAAGATGCAGCAAGCCTGAAACACCACCACCACCACCATCATCACCAGGAATGGAGCAGCAATGCCATCGGTGGTGTTCCAATCTGCAATCACACATTTAAGACTGCTTCACTGGAGTGATTATTGACTGTCCTTCGAAAGTGGCTGTTGTATTAGGCCTAAATTATCCTAAGTTGTTTGACAACACCTGTTGTAAAAAGCACTATATAAATAAACTTTGACTTGACTAAATTATTCTCAAATCCAAAATGACCTCCACATTGTAGAGAACTGTCTTGGCCATACTAGCAAGCATAATAGAACAAATAAGCTCTTGGAAAATGTTTTTCAAATAACACAGGCCTAATCTGGACCATTAAAGCACTTCTTAAGAGAATAAAGGCCGGCCTGAATGCAATTTTTAATTCAGTAGCAAGAATATCACTGTGCTATCCATTACTTTGACTGGCTTGCAGCAGACGAACAGTTCCTCGACATGCTGATGATGACATGAAGAATCCAGAGAGTTTCCTTGCTTTCTGAAGAGACAGAAGAGACGCATTGCATTTACAAAGTGCAGAGAGATGTGACGACACACTTGGGCGAACATTGCAGTGACATCATGTAGGCCTATCAAGGTGAAAAATGACTGATGCATGGCTGGAACAGGAAAAAGAGAATGAAAAAGAGAAAGAAAATGAAAATTGCACTTATTTTTTTTTATGTGTGTTCTTATTTTTTTCAGCACTTTCAGTCCTTTGGTGTGACCTGACAATCACAAATCATAGCAACAACAGAATGACTGGAACATTCAGTTAAAGTCACCATCAAACACTTGACAATTACCTAAGCAAGAAATATGACCATCAATAAAAATGCAATAACACAATTGCATATATATAGTTCAGCATTCATATTTGCTTCAGGATCATAACACATAACCCCTTTTTGATAAAACTATATGCAAGGGTATAAAGAAAATGTTGACTGTTTTCCTAAGACAAGATCCAGTTTTTATCATAGATACCATATACTGTGAACTTTTTGTACCGAAACGTGTTGTAGAGTTTGCATCTAAACACTGTGTAACCCTTAAAATATCTGTCAGTGGTGGATGCTTTGTATTATATTTATCTTTATTAGCTCTTCCTGTAGCTGCAGTGGAAATGTTGAGTTCCTCCTACAGATGGGTCCAAATGACCCAGAAAATTGGTGTCGTTTTTATGTGGGTATCTGGATTAGCTCATATATTGTGGAATATTAAATATTACTTTAAAGTGATGGTTTGGTGAAAAACCAATTTGACCAATTTGTTCAGCCAAGATCTGTTTGGGCCCAATCCCATTTCTTCTTCTTATCCCAACCCTTGTTTTCAGTGTCTCCTTGCCCCTTGGAACTGAGTTACAAGGGGTAGTGGTTGAAATGTTCCCCTACGAAATGGGACAAATGGTGATACGAAGCTGAAGTCAGCTATTCACCAGCTTCTCATTCAAGTTTTCCCGTTCCACCTTAAATAGTGCAGCAGTTACATTCTGGCGCTTCAGGCGTCAGAACTGCTGGACTATTCAAGGTGGAACAGGAAAGTTAGCTCGGCTACCGAGATGTTAGCATACTATTACCGATTTTTTATGCTCGTTATGAAGAAAAGGACCATAATACACTGAAACGACATTAAACTAAGACAATACAATGGTTATCGTAATTTTTTAACAGAGAAAATACTCACATTTGTGCAGCCATCTTGCTGGTTTTTCTTTTTTTCTCATAACACTCTGTTTGGAACGTGTCTCTGAAAAACCTCCGTTTGGAGGGCCATGTAGCACTAACACTTCGCCCTAGCCCTCTATCTCAACAAAAATTGGGACACCCTACCCCTAGACATGAATGCGCAAAACAGAGGGCTAAGGGCTAAGTGATAGGGGCAAGGGGTGAAATGGGTCTGGGCCTTCGAAGTTTTTACTTCTTAAGCTTTGCAGTGGAGCTATAAGGCTAAAGTTGCTAACAAGTAATGGAAGCTTATACACTAACACTAAGCACCGTGCAAACTGCATGTGGGAATCACCACACAGTTCTCAAATACGCTTGCTTATGTGGTTTCTGGATCTGTGTGACACTGTTATAATAAACAAAACTGTCTCTATAAACGGCATAAAAAAGCTGAAAACAGTAGCATCAACCACACTGAAGCCTCTATTATGTGCATATTTTTGCCTACTTAGTAATTGTGATTGTTTTTTTCCCCAAGTGACTGCTTTAAAAAATGTTATGAGTAGTTCTCAATGTGAAAGTGTAGTATTTGTAGTTTAAATTTTGATGAAAATCCTTTTGAAAAATATATTTCAATAAATATCAATGGAATGAGACATTGTGGTACAACTAAAGCAGTATAAACCAACTTATTTAAAGTGGCAGTTTTTTTTTGTTTTGTTTTGTTTTGTTTTTTTTTACATTTTTTTGTATACTTTTTATATCCCTAGCTGCTCACAGAGGTGCATATTCTTCTCACAGACATCTCTAAGGAAATGATCTGGTAGATTAACTGTTGCACTGTATAAAGCAAATGTATTCTGAAAGTGGCACTTACATTCACTGAGCACTTTATTAGGTGCACATACCTTGTTTCTATACTCATTGCCCATTTTATCAGCTCCACTTACAATACAGGTGCACTTTGTAGTTCTACAGTTATAGACTGTAGTCCATCTGTTTCTCTGCATACTTTGTTAGCTTTTACTCTGTTCTTCAATGGTCAGGACCCCCCACAGGACCACCACAGGGCAGGTACTATTTGGGTGGTGGATCATTGTCAGCACTGCAGTCACAATGCAGTTTTTAAACACCTCAGTGTCACTGCTGGGCTGAGAAAACTAGTTTTTCACAAATGTGTACTAACACAACACACACTAACACACCACCACCACATCAGTGTCACTGCAGTGCTGAGAATGATCCACCACTCAAATAATAGCTATTCTGTGGGGGTCCTAGCCATTGAAGAACAGGGTAAAAGGGGGGTAATAAAGTATGCAGAGAAGCAGATGGACTACAGTCTGTAATTGTAGAACTACAAAGTGCACATATATAGTGAGTAAAGCTGATAAAATGGTCAATGAATGTAGATACAAGGTAGGTGTACCTAATAAAGTGCTCAATAAGTGTATGTTTGCATGTTCCTTTTCTGCAAATCCTGCAGTTTCCCATGTTTGAAGTGTGAAAAAAGGAAATAAACTCTTGTAAATATCTGCTGTGACGTCTGAGAGGCTGCTGAATGTTCTGGACTTTTCTTTGTTCTCCTTCGTTTGTAGGACTGCACAAAATCAATTCTTTGGTTGCCATGGAAACTGTCTGCTTTGGTCAAGCTGCATGAAATTGCAGAATTGGGATCTATGGATTGGACCGGGCAGGAGGAGGTGGGGAGCAATCAACAACTTTATATTTAGGGTGGTTGATTTATTTTAATGCTCACTGGCTGGAGACAGACGTGAAACATGCAGTGTGGTTTCAGAGGAAGGTTTAAGTGTGTATGTGTATCTTTGAAGAAGCCAGAAAAAGGAAGGGACAAATAAAAAATGCACACATGTAACAGACTTCACATCACAGCTCTTTGATGGAGAAAAAAGGCTCCCTGGAGAGTTTTACATAGACATGGGGAGACGGAGCGTGAGAGAGACATATGTGCATGAGTGAGGGAGTGGGGAAGAGAGGGCCGTCTGTCATTACCAAGTGAGGAAAAAAGGGTGAAACAGAAAAGTCTGGAGGGAGGGAAGCCAGGAAGGAAATTAGGCTGTTAATCAGGAGGTGCAGTGTACCCTTACTGTGCTAGAGTCAAAAACACTGACAAATATGTAAAAGTAATGAGTGTAATAAGGTCCCATATCATAGGATTACTTTATAATGTACTATGTAAACACTGAGTGTGTTTACATGCACTCAATAATCCAATCATAATTGGATTTCTGCAGTTATCTGATTATTCAAATGGATTCAAATTATTCAAAATCTCAGTAATCAGATTTCTCAGTCCATGTAAACTCTTACCCGGATTTCTTTCAGATTTCTCAGTCTGCACATGCGCAAGAACAGACCACAGTACCCGTAATGAGCAAGCAGCGCTGCCACGAGATGCCAGCAAAACACTTTCGGAGCTAAGCTGAAACCTGAAACCAACTACATGTTTGACGAAATGAAGGATTTAAATCCTTTTTCTAGATGATGTATGTTAATTTTCATGTAAAGTGGCGTAATCCTTTTTTAAAGCTGCGGCACTGAGCTGGAGTTTTTGTTACATTTACGGCACGTCTTCTTCTGTGAATTTATTGGTTGGTTGCAAAGCAGAAATCTGACGATTGTCTGACTCCTCTAGATCCTATTATCTGATATTATATTACTCTTATATTCTATTACTCAAGAACATATAAACACATTGATCGAATTACTGACAAAATCTGATTTTCTGCAGTTATTGGACTATTAAGTGCATGTAAACGCACTCATTGTTAAAAGTTTCAAAATGTACCGTTCACTCCATCATGGTTGTGATGTCACAACCATAGAACACATTTCCACTGCTCTAGAGTCCTGTGGCAGCACACCGATCTTGAAACGCTTGGAATGGGCAGTAAGACGTTAGCTAAAATAAATACAGTGCCCTTCACAAATATTGGCACCCCTGGTAAACATGAGTAAAATGAGCTGTAAAATACATTCTTTATTGCTTATCCTTCTGGACACAAGGCAAGCAATCTAAGACTATTCCTCCAAACAGAATCTCTCCAGATCCTTCAGATCTCCTCTTCAACATATCTTACAGGTTTTCTCTGGATTTAGGTCAGTGGACTGGTATAGCCATGGCAAAATCTTGATTCTGTGGCGAGTGAACCATTTTTGTGTTGATTTTGAGGAGTACTTTGGATCATTGTCTTGCTGGAAGATCCAACCACGGTCCAGTTTAAGCTTCCTGGCTGAGGCAGTCCAGTTTTGATTTAATCTGTTGTTACTTTATGGAGTCTGTGATACCATGCATCCAAAAGGAGGCCTTTGGAAGAAAAACAGCTCCACAACATCACCGATCCAACACCATGCTTCACAGTGGGGATGAGGTACTTTTCTATATGTGTCTATGTGAATATACATGTTTATTGCTAAAAATCTATACTGTCTCTGTTCTGACCCCAAGACCCAGCTAATGTTTGCTAATATTCCTCATCTGCAGTCCTTGGAGATTCTTTGGTCACTTGAACCATCAACCTCTCTGTACCTGGGGTCAATATAGATATATGTCCTCTTTCCAGAAAATTCTTAAATTCTCCAGTTGCTTTAAACTTCTTGATTATTCGCACATCAGAGTTTTGGAAAAATATTGGCAAATATTGGTGTTTAGTCTTTCAACTATCAACAAGTCTTGCATTTTCCATTTCTTGTTCTGTAATATATCATGTTTTGACCCTTTTTGTGTTTACTGACCCTGAGCTCTCATGACTGAATGTTGGATTGTGTCTAATAAAGCCGCTCAGTGCATGCATTCTGCCAAATTGTTGAAATTTAAGGATTTTTATGAGAATAAATAATATATTGATCATTTTTCATGTAAAAGAATACAATCATTTCCTGAACATAGAATAGCATAAAACATTTTAACAATGCTGTTATAGTTTTTTTTAAAAAAAACTTTTTAAGAGAATGCTGGTAAGATTATCTGCTAAAGGACATTCGCCAGCTTCTTCATGAAATTTTCCTGTTCCACCTTAAATGATGCAGCAGTTACATTCTGGCACCTGAGGCATTACAGTAACTGCTGCGCCATTTAAGGTGGGACAGGAACATTCAAAGAAGAAGCTGGAGAACAGGATGCTGACTTCAGCTTCGTAGATGCTGGTATTTTTTTTTTTTTAAGTTTTTCTTTTTTATAAGATGGTTTATTTTGATAAAAAATATCCTACCTAGAGGTTTTATGTAGGCAGCTATCTATAAATATGCGCTACAGTAGCTACAGGGCATTTCAACAAGGTAGCACAATTTGTCACCAGCAAACTGGAAGAGCGACAGAGCTCGTGCCAAGACCAGAATCAACACTTAGGCCCAAACCCGTTTCACCCTTCGTCCCTACCACGGAGCCCTTAGCCCTCTGTTTCACTCGTTCACGTCTAGGGTTAGGGTGTCCCGATTTTAGTTGAGATAGAGGGGTAGGGCGAAGTGTTAGGGCTACACGGCCCTCCAAACAGAGGCTTTTCAGAGACTCCAAACGGAGTGTTATGAGAAAAAAAAACCGGCAAAATGGCTGCGCGAGCGACCAAAGAAACCTACAAATGTGAGGATTTTCTCCGTTAAAAATTACAACATCCACTGTATTTTCTTAGTTTAATGTCGTTTC